TTTCAATAAGCGAGATCAAGGTGAAACTGAAACTGTTGATGCTTATGTCGCAGCACTTAGAACTCTGACTAGAACCTGTAACTATGGTGTTCTAGAAAATAGTCTAATTCGTGATAGGATTGTGATTGGAATCCGAAACAACACGACTCGCAAGAAACTGTTGCAAGATCATAGACTTACTCTACAATCAGCTATTGATATTTGCAGAGCCAGTGAAATTACAGCTAATCAACTGAAATCTATGACACAAGAAGAAGTTTCATTCATTAAGTCAACTAAGCCTGCCAGATATGTCAAGAAATCTTCAAAGCCTGCTGAAAATAGGAAAACTCCTACATCTCATAAGTCTTCTAAAGGCTTTACATCTACTTCTCCTCAAGAATGTAAATTTTGTACTCATAAACATATTTTACAGAAGAATCCTGCCTGGAAACAGATATGTAATCTTTGTGGTGGCAAAAACCATTTTCGTGCAAAATGTCCTTCGACATTAAAAGAAAAATCTGTTACATCTAAGATTTATTCTTTAAACTCTGACTCAAGTGATGAAAATTTGCTTGCCCTAGACTATATTAACTCTGTTAATGATTTACCAACAAAGAAACTGAAAGCTATTATGGCTATTGGTAATAGTAAGGTAGAATTTCTGTTAGATTGTGGTTCAACTGTGAATGTACTCTCTAGAAAGATTTACTCTGAAATCTTTAAACCTGAAAACTTGGAGAAATCTAACACTACTCTTGTGATGTTTAACAAATCTACACTCAAGCCAATTGGAAAATGCCACATCAAAGTAAAGAATCCTGTAAACTCTAAAGATTATCAACTTGAATTCTTGATAGTGGATGAAGCTCTTCAACCAATTCTAGGCTCTAGGTCTATACAGGAAATGGGACTCATTACTGTAAACTCTGAACTCATCTCTAAAGATTTGACTGAACCTAATCTTAACTCTATGTCAACCCATGTTGATAATTCTAATATATCTCTAGAATCTGTGTTATCTAAATACCAAGATGTCTTCAAAGGTGAAGGAAAATTTAAAGGCCAACTCAACTTGAAGATTGACAAGTCTATTACTCCTGTGCAACTTCCTACTAGAAAATTGCCTTTAGCTATCAAAGATAAAGTGAAATTGGAACTTCAACGACTTACTGATCTTGATGTTCTTACTCCAGTTTCAACTCCTACAGATTGGATATCCAGCATGGTGGTCATAACCAAACCTTCTGGTAAACTAAGACTATGTATAGATCCAAAACCTTTGAATGAAGCTCTTCGTAGAAACCATTATCCAACTCCTACTATAGAAGATCTCTTACCTGATCTATCTAAAGCTCGTGTATTCTCAGTCTTAGATGCTAAGAATGGTTTTTGGCACTGTGAATTGTCAGAAGAAAGCAGTTACCTCACTACTTTTGGTACACCATGTTCAACGATTACTTGGTATGGTCAACTATGTACAAAAGTTTGCTCCATGTGTATCTGAAATCACTGCTCTTCTACATGATTTGATAAAAAACACTTCTCATTTCTACTGGGATTCTCAAGTTCATGGTGAAGCTCTCAACAAAGTTAAGAAGATTCTCTCTAATGCTCCAGTTCTTCAATACTTTGATACTAATAAGTCTACTGTTCTACAATGTGATGCATCTGAATATGGACTTGGTGCATGCTTACTACAAGATGATCGTCCAATTGCATACGCATCTCGCTCTTTAACACCTACTGAAGTGAACTATGCTCAGATAGAGAAAGAACTCCTTGCTGTTGTGTTTGGAACTGAATGTTTTGAAACTTATCTCTATGGTAGAAAAGTGTTAGTAGAATCTGATCATAGCCCTCTTGAAACAATTTATAAGAAAAGTCTCCATTCTCCTAAACGTTTGCAACGTATGTTATTACGCATTCAAAGATTTGATTATGATATCAAATACAAAAAAGGATCACAAATGTTCATAGCAGATACTCTTAGTCGTGCATTTTTACCTAGTACGAAACATGATATTGCTAATACTGAAACTGTCTATTATTTAAGTGATAGGTCTAATTTTGAAACTGAGTTAGAATCTGTTAATACTATGCAATATTTATGTGTTAGTGATGTAACTTTTAACAAAATTCTAGATGCTACTAATTCTGATATTGATATGAAACATTTAAAGTCTACTATACTTAATGGCTTTCCAGCAAAGAAAAGTGCTTTGCCTTTGTCTATTCAAACTTATTTTACTTTTCGTGAGGAACTTTGTGTTCAAAAAGGTCTAATATTTAAAGGTGAACGTGTAATCACACCTTTATCTTTACGTGATTATATGCTTTCTAGAATACATTCTAGTCATATTGATGTCCAAGGTTGTTTGCGTAAAGCTCGTGAAAGCGTTTACTGGCCCAATATGAATAGAGATGTTGAAATATTTGTAAGCAAATGTGAAATTTGTAATACATTTCAACCAGAGCAACAAAAAGAACCAATGATATCTCATAGTATCTCTACTAGGCCATGGGAAACTGTTGGTACTGATTTGTTTCAATTTAATGATAAGGCTTATTTAATGACTGTTGATTATTATTCTAATTTCTTTGAAGTGGATTACCTTCGAGATAAAACTTCAGCCACAGTAATTCCTAAAGTTAAAGCAAACTTTGCTCGTCATGTAATACCTACTGAAGTTATGTCTGATGGTGGACCTCCTTTTAATAGTCATGATTTTGAAATTTTTGCTAGTGAATATGATTTTGATCATGTTATGAGCTCTCCTAATTATCCTAAATCTAATAGTAAAGTTGAAAATGCAATCAAAACTGCAAAACGCATTATGAGAAAAGCATATGAGGATAAAGCTGATGTTTATCTTGCATTATTGGATTATCGTAATACACCTACTGAAGGATTAGAAAGCTCTCAAGCTCAAAGATTATTTAGTCGTAGAACTAGAACACTTTTGCCCACATCTTCTAAAATGTTAAAACCTGCATGTATTAAGAATGTTAATCATAAACTACGTATGTTAAAATATAAACAAACTAAGTATCATGATCGTTCGTCTAAGGAACTCTCTAAGCTTAACGATGGTGATAATGTTAGAATTAAACCTCTTCCTACTGCTAAAAATAAGAAATGGATGAAAGGACAAATTGAAGGTCAAGTAGATATTAGATCTTATCAAGTGCGAACTGAAGATGGTCGTGTCTATAGAAGAAATCGCAAACATCTACGATCTTCTAATGAAACATTTAATCCTAATTCTTCTGAAAACCCTCCTTATTTTAAGCCAATTGATATTCTGAATAATCCTCCTGCAAATGTTGATACACAACCTCAAAATACTAATGTTGATGTAACCAATAAACCTGATATTGTTCATGATAATTTTGACAATGCTCCTTATGAAATACCTATTCCAGATGTAAATGTGTCTAAACATATTAGTAAGAAAAAGCATTATATGTTCTACTGCTAGAAATACATCTTATGTTCAAACTCGTAGTGGTAGAATTAGTCGCAAACCTTTATACTTGAAAGATTATGTTACTTAAACAAAACTATCTAGTATGTTTAACATTTGTATATCTGAAAAGTGCTTGCTATATTATGTAGTAGTAAATTTAGGTAATGCCAATTAGGTATTTTTGAAAGTTCATTTAGCACAGTTATTTATTAATATTATATTTTGTCTTTAGTCTTTAAGGTTAAAAGTTTATTTCTTTTATGTGAAAACGGGGATGTAACGATATCTGTTTAACTGTATTTACTTGTTATCTCCCTTTAATGTACCTCGCATGCGCGCTGTAAAAAGGAAGTTCTCAGTATGTCTTTCTCTAATAAATAACGTTGTAAAAACTCTCTAGTCTTTTCTGACTCACCAACTTAACATACAAGACAACAACGTTACATTGATCAAACTGAATATTGATTTGTCTGAACATTGGTGATATTGATCAAACTGAATATTGATTTATCTGAACCTTGGTGATATTGATCATACTGAATATTGATTTGTCTGAACATTGGTGATATTGATAAAGCTAATTGTTGATTTGTCTTAACATTGGTGATATTGATCAAACTGATTATTGATTTGTCTAAACATTGGTGATATTGATCAAACTGATTATTGATTTGTCTGAACATTGGTGATATTTTTTGATTTGTCTGAACATTGGTGATATTTTTTGATTTGTCTGAATGTTGATTTGTCTGAACATTGGTGATATTGATCAAACTGATTATTGATTTGTCTTAACATTGGTGATATTGATCAAACTGATTATTGATTTGTCGGAACATTGGTGATATTGATCAAACTGATTATTGATTTGTCGGAACATTGGTGATATTTTTTGATTTGTCTGAACATTTGTGATATTGATCAAGCTGAATGTTGATTTGTCTGAACATTGGTGATATTGATCAAACTGATTATTGATTTGTCTGAACATTGGTGATATTGATCAAACTGATTATTGATTTGTCGGAACA